CCATCCACACACCCACAAGGACGGGAGTGGCCGTAGCAGATGCCACTGAGGGGGACACAGAGGCAGAGAAGAGGCCGCCTCGGCAGGCAGCACTGGAAGGTCCTGTCTGCTCCGTGAGCAGGGCTGGGCCCTGAGCCAGGCCCAGGATGGGAGGGAAGCCAAGATGACTGATGACAGTGGTAATTACGACTCCTGCCCCAAGAGCCACAGCCCATGAGGTGACCACGCACCCCTGCTGGGACCATACAGGAGGGCATCTTGGGGCTGTGCGGGCAGCAAGGGTGAGCATTTGATTTTTTTAGAGCCTCTAGACAAGATGCACAGAGAGCGGGGTGTTTGAGTTGGGGTTCTGAAGGATGTATAGGAGTTGGTAGGAAAGACAGGGACTAAAAATGGGAGAGGAAATTTCAGGGAGAGAAAAACAATGTGAAAAAATAACTATAAAAATAGCTACACAGTTTCCTTGAGAAGCTATTCCAAGTCCCTCACTGGTCCAGGTGCTTCCAGGTCTTACCTCTGGAGGTCCTATCACGCTTGTTCTCCAGGTGAGGGAACTCGTGCTCAGAGAGGTTAAGGGGCTTGCCTGAGGTCACACAGAGCTTTGCTCTGCTCTGCTGCCTGGTACACAGCAGGGCAAGGGCTAGGAAGGCGAAGGAGATGCCCAGGGCACGACATTGGCGGAGGCATTCATTAGGGCAACTGGAGACAGGGTTGTTCAATGTGGTGTCCTCGGGGCCGTGCTTGGCTCTGTGTTTGAGGCCCTGGGCCCTGGTGGGAAAGGGGGTCGGAGTGTGGCTGCAGGAGGGAGATTTGTGTGTGTGCAGCTGGACCAGCAGGCCGGTGGGGGCCCAGTGAGGAAGGAGCTTGTCAGCCACATATAGGAGCTTGAACCTTGGTCCTGTGGGCACTGGGAGCCGTGGAGGGCTCTGAGCAGAAGAGGGACACGTCAGAGTTGTGTGTGAGGCTGGCGTGGAAGGCTGGCACCCACCTCAGGCTTTCTCTTCCGTTTCCTGGGGTGCATGGGGGCTTCAGGGCCTTGGCTGGGCTCCCCGGGGCCCCTCACTTCACCTCAGTGAGTGTTGTGGGGGCTTCTCACCTCCCCGCCCCGTGTGTGACGGTGACACCGTAGACACCCAGAGAGGAGGATGTGGTTGTCAGGGAACCAGCTAGAACTTAATTATGAAATGTTTAAAAAGAAAAATAAGAACTTTTAGGTATAATTTTTTCAGGCTTGTTAATATCCCTTCCCATTTATCTTTTGCAATTCTGGTCCTTTTGTGCTTAAAAAACCATCAGCAATGCCAAGTACAGCCAGAACTGAGGTGACAGGGGGCCGTTTGGTTCTGTCTTCAACCATCCATTAGAGCTTCCTCTCGGCCTTTGACCTTTGTGGTTTCCTGCTACTTGAAGCTGGCGGAGGACGCAGCCCAGGGCTCTGATACCCGGGGGGCTGCACCTCTGTGATTTGGTCCCCATCTGCCTACCTGACCCCCGCGAGGTGTGCCGGAGCTCTGAGGGTGCAGGGGCGAAGGGAGCGGGACCAGCCTGGCGGTTGAGGTGGGGGCTGGAGGAGACCCCCCAGGTGGGCGAGGGGTACAGGAGCCCCCTCAGAGCTGGGGTGCAAGAGACAGACCCCACTTTATGTTCTTATATGTCACCTCCTGTTCTGACTCCAGCGGCAGAAATGCTAGTTCCGTCAAGAGAGGGTCCCCACCACGTACCTGGACAGGTGCCAGGGGCCACCAGGTCCCTGCAGAGAGTTTGGGTGCCTCTGCTCTCACACCCTCTGCCCGCTCCTTCCAAATATTAGGTCTGCACCCTGTTCATTTAAAGACAGCACTGAAGCTCGCTGCTCTCATTGGAGGAAGAAATAAAGTATTGAAATATTTTTTCCTTTACTCCAGGCATCTGAGAGAAGAGCGAAATGTCATTGATCCTTTTCTGGCTTAACAAAGAAAAATTCCGAATGTTTATACCCACAGAAATAAAGATGTCAGTGCAATTATTATTACCAGGGCATAAAACATGACATGCGCTGACCTATGGGAATTCAGAGGTTTTAGAGGCTAGAGGTGACCCCCAGGAGATGCGGATACCCCCGCCCCGCCCCGTGCCCTGTCCTGCGCGCCCCTCTGGCTCCCCGTTGCCTGTAGGATGCCGTCCTTCCCTTGGCTTACAGCGCCCCCTCTGTCCTGCCTCCACCGCAGCTCAGGGCCAAGGGCGGCCTGTGGTCCCCTGTCGCCTGGGTCAGACGGAGGAGAGGGGACCACTGTGAGCTTCCTCTGGGCCAGGCTCCTTCAGGGCAGGATGGCTTCTGCCTGTGGCTCCTGCCTGCGCCCAGGGTGGCGCCCTGTCTGCCCTGCAGCTCCCTGCTCCCCACCCTCCCTGCAGGGCCTGCGGGTTCAGAGGCGGCAGCCTTTCCCCAGGGCACAGCTCCCTCCTGTCCCTGGCGTCACCCTCCCTTCTCACGGTGCCGTGTTTCTTTCTGGTCCGCGCTTCAACTAGCCCTTCTTGAGAGAGGAAAGCTCGGCCGCTGGGAGGTGGTCACTGTGAAGGGTGGAAGTTCAGTTTGGGGGGTTCTCCTCCTTAAAGAGCCATGTGGGTACAGTCTGTTTGCATTTTGTTAATCAAATGGCTCATCCTGCTGAAATCTTCCAATTCCAAATGTGACATGTTAAACAAGACCCCCCCCCTTCTGCCCGGCCTTCCTGCCAGGACAAGAGTGTGGACAAGTTCACGGGTGAGGCGTGGGGCCGAAAACCGCCCCTGCCCATCAGACGCCGTGGAAGGATCTCAGCGGAGCTCTCGGAGGGGGCGTCTGAGGACCTTTCTCGTACAGGGGGCCTTCCCAAGGGGCGCATTTCCTTCCTTCTCCTCTGATTATTGGGAAGCAGGGGCATAAAGTAAATAGCAGGGCCTTTTCTTGCCCTCTAGCCGTTTCCCTCCATCTCCATGCCTAGTGGCCTGAGATGAGGGTCTGTTCTGCAGCCCTGGTCTCCCGGTGCTGGCACTTTCCTTCCTGTGTGGGAAGGGGACTCCAGTCTCCATCCTGCCTTCTTGCCTTAGATTTCATCCTCCTCGGCTCTGGACCCTCAGTGGCCCCCACTTCCCTATAGTAACACCCACACCCCTCATCCTGTGTGGGGTGGCCCCCTTGCATCCCTCTCCACCTTGCTCATTCCTTTCTCCAGCTACCTGGCCGTCAGCTCGTCCCTGTCTCAGGGCCTTTGCATGTGCTGCTCCTTCTGCCTGGAGGGCTACTCTCCCGGCATTTACACTGTGCTCTCCCGCGCTTCCTTCAGATCTCAGCTCACACCTCATCTCCCACCGAGGCCCCGTCCGTCCAGATCACCAGCCCCCATCCCTCTCTGTGTCCTCCTTGCTTTATTTCTCTTCCCAGCACCCATCACTACCTGACAGTATTGCATGGCACTGAGTTTTATTGTCTGTCTGTGCCAGGAGAATGTTGGCTCCAGGAGGGCGGGGGCTTTGCGTTGCTCACTGCAGCATCCCAGGGCTCTGAATAGTACCGTCCCAGGGCCTCAGACAGGCCCACCCGCATGGCGGGCACTCAGCATGATTGACTGCCTGGAGAATGAACGGATGCAGACATGCGTGCACGAGCGTGTGAGAGCATCCGATCGGCATGAAGTGTCCCCCGCCAGCCTGCAGAGGGAGCCAGGCAAGAGCTGTATTTCTGGGAAGGGCAGTGGCCGGGAGCGGCATCTGCCTCAGACGAGAGGGAGAACGGGGGTCCCAGGTGGGGGTAAGGGCTGGGACAGACCTGGGAGGTGGGCCCTGGGGCCGTGTGACAGGGCCGGCAGCGGGGCCCCTCCTGTGAGCCTCTGGGACCTGTGCTCAGCCGTCTCCCTATCTCAGGTCTGGAGGCTCAGAACCGGCCGGTGTCCACGGGGACGGCTGGACAGGTTGTCAGGTGCTTAAGTCCTCCCAGACTGGCTGGTAAAGGGCTGCCAACCGCTACCCTGTTCTCTTCCCTGGATGCCCGGGCACAAACATGGCCCAGACGCTAAGGAGCTAATGCTTGGCCAGCAGGGACCCTGGTCCCCACCCTGCCCCAGCACCAGGGCCACCGTAGGACCTGATGGGCCAGTGAGGTGTCGCTGGGCAACTGGCGGGACAGCCAGCAAGAGACGTGAGCGTGGACAAGCTTGTCCTGCTGTGGGGGAACCTCGGCGTGTCAGGAAGGCCTGCTCACCGGGGGCACTGGGGAGGGGGCGCCGGTCGGGGAGCCCACTGTCCCAGACTGGGACCACCCAGCAGGGGCAGCGAGCCGTGGTCTTCAGGGACCCGGTAAGTGACGCCCTGTGTGGGGCGGCTGGCCTGAGATCATCGGAGAGGGTGGCGGTGCCGACGGGACTCGAGCTCCGTCTGTGGCCGTGAGATCTGATTTTGCTGCAACCCCGTGGCAGCCAGACGGAACAGGGCTTGGCCGTGAGTGCCCAGGACCCCGCGGACAGAGGCCCTGGGGTCGCTTAGTGCCAGGGCCACGGCAGCGCCCAGCCTAGTCCAGGACGGTGTCCAGCGCAGTCCAGGACGCCAGGACACCTCGCAGTCCTGGCACTCAGCGTCACCGGGAGGAGGCAGTGGAGTGCAGCATGTCGAGGCAGCGCCGGGTTCACATCCCAACTCCGCCGGTTTCTCCCAGCTCTGAGACCCCGGGCCTGGATTTAGCCATCTTTAACCCAGTGTTCTTGGCTATAAAATGGGAATAATGATGGTACTGACTTGATATATTTATTGGGGGATTAGATGCAGTAATGCACGGAAGGACACAGAATCTGGTCAGGGTAAATGCTCAATAAACATTGCTGGTTCTTCCTTCTCCGGACAGTTTGGGCCCGATGCCTGACAGGTATTGAGTTACAGGTTTGATGAATGAATGAATGACCGTACAGCGCGAGCCCAGGGTGGCAACAGTCGTCTGTTGTTCCGGCCCTGTGGGACAGCCCGGTGACGGAGTTGTTTCTCTGTCTCCGCAGTCTTCGAAGAGCCTGAGGACCCCAGCAACCGCTCCTTCTTCTCGGAGATCATCTCCTCCGTGTCGGACGTGAAGTTCAGCCACAGCGGCCGCTACATGCTCACCCGGGACTACCTCACGGTCAAGGTCTGGGACCTAAACATGGAGGCAAGGCCCGTAGAGACCTACCAGGTGGGCGCCGCAGCCTGGAAAGCTCGGGGCCCTCTGCGGTGGGGGACCCCCGCCTGCCTTCCCTGAGCGAGAGCCGCATGGAGGGGCGCTCCCCGCTACAGGGGGCTCTCATGCGCCCGTTCTGTGGGTGAAGGCACAGGCCCCGGAAATCAAGACGCTCATCCCCAGCCAGGCAGCTGGGCCGGGGGCCGAGAGCCTGCCCAGCCCTGCCTCCAGGGAGCTGTGTGTCCCCTGCTCGCTGGCTCCTGCCCGAGGCAGGGCTGCGGCGAGGCCTGCAGTCCAGGCCCAGGGGAACAAAGATGAGTGTTACAGGGGTTGCATTTCTAAATCCTTGGCACAGGTCTTGTAAGCCCAGTATACAGGATGGAGCATGGGGCACCTTCCTGGGAAGTCCTTATTACTTATTATATTTCTGTTATGATCCATCCAGATAGGTTAGGTGGTAGAAAACAAAATTCACATGATGTTAAAATGGGGACTTGAAAGAAATGTGGGGCTGCTTTAAAGCTGTTTCCCATTATGTCTTTACCTGGGGAGATCAGGGGGGCTTCTTGGAGGAGGCGACATTTGCTGGACCTCATAGGATAAGTAGGATTTGGTTGTGCAGATGTGAGTGGGAAAACACCCCACCAGAGGCCCAGCCAAACCCCCACAGTGTCACCAAGTATTCGGCACAGATGGGGTGCCATGCACTCGACATCTGTCACCTTTATTCCTTACTGTCCCTGCGAAGGGGGTGCCATCAGCGCCATTAGGCAGAAAGGGAACCTGGGTGCTAAGAGGTTGGGGTGTGGAGCTGCCTCACAGCTGGGCAGTGACAGACTCAGAGCCACATGGGGGCCTACATGTCCCTTCCCTTCTCCCCTCCTGCCACGGCTGGGGGAGGGGAGTGTCTTGGAGGCAGAAGGGGCCCCACTGGGAAGGGGTGCAGAGCTGAGAGGACAGAAAAGGACAGAAACCTCCTTTTTCTTCCCCTCCCCTCCCTGCACCTGACCCTTGGTTTGTGGCCTGTGTCACTGCCCAGCAGGAGGTGGACAGTTATTCTCCCTGTCCCTCCAGGGTTAATGAGGGTCACAAATTCCTCTACGGGGCTTGGTCCTGCGTCTCCTTGAATCCTCACTCTCTTCTCCTGGGAGGATTCTCGTGGCCTCTTTTGCAGACAGTAAAGCTAAGGCTTGGCCGCTAACCTGCCAAACCTGTGGCTCTCCCGCGTCACACAGAAAGGGGCAGAGCAGCCAGCTGGATGCAGGTCACCTGTCACCATCTCTCCTGTGGTGTCATATAACCCTGGGAGAGGGTCCTGGTCTTCCACTCATCAGCTGTGTGACTTTGGGCCAGTTACTTAACCTCTCTGAGCCTCAGTGCCTCATCCACAAAACAGGACAGGTGACGCCTGCCAAGATCACGCTTGAGAGGCCTGTGTGAGTTCTCCTCCCCTCTTCTCCATGACGGTCACCATTGTGCTCATGGTGACTATTGTTATCCTCAGAGGTGTGACCCTACACCAAGCAGTGTCCTACAGTTGATCCCAGAACAGCCCGTAAGGTATGCGCTCTTAGCACTCTCAGAACGAAGAAACCTAGGCTCAGAGAGGTGAAGTCCCTTGTCCAGGATCACACAGCTGGGGAGGGGCGGAGCCAGGATCTGGTCCCCTTTGTCACTGTGACTGTTGGCTCTCTGGCCACAGCTCAGGGGTCAGCCGTGGGCCAGGCAGTGGGCCCTTCCCGATGAGCAGGGCTGAGTCGGGAGTGCCATCCGGACCCCGGAGGGCACAGCCCTCACTGCGCAGTGAGACCCTCCTCGTGGAGGGGCCAGGACTCACCCCCTCCCCTTCTCCCGCCAGGTCCACGATTACCTTCGGAGCAAGCTCTGTTCCCTGTATGAGAACGACTGCATTTTCGACAAGTTTGAATGCGCCTGGAACGGGAGCGACAGGTAATCTTCAGACCTGGGACCCCGCCTGCCTAACGGGAGTTCCTGCCCAGGGGGCCCCCACGGGAGCCCTGGGCGGGATGCACCAGGGGAATTCGCTGTCTATAAGCCTTGATGAATCGGGGTGTTCGCAGGAGGCCCACCCTTCCTGGCAGCAGGCACGAGCTCGGCTCTCAAGTTCAAGGGCAGGAAAGGAAACCTCACCTCTGTAACGACATCTAACGTCTGTTTGAGCCCCGTCCTCCTGAGTGGTGGTGGAAACATATTTCATCAGTTCTGGGTCCCTAACCACCGGCCCCTTCCCAGGTTGTCGGGGGTGAGGGGTGTCCGGGTGCCCGGGCCTCCGTGGGGTGGAGGGCTCTAGCCATTGGTCTGCCCACCCCCTCCTCCCACCGTCATGGCTGCAGCCGCCTCTTTCTGGCGGCAGCCCCGCTTCAGGCCCTCTGGGGCTCGGGGGAGCGCGGCAGCTCCTGCACCTTCTTGGGGAGGGGGGTCCACAGGTCCGGCCCCTCTCACAGCCCCTCCCACCCCAGAAATGGCCCTGAGCCTCATGGGAGTTCCTCTTCCCCATCGCCCAGCTCAGCCCTGGGCCGGTGTAGACAGGGATGGCCCAGTGCAGGGACCCAGGTGACGAGACAATGCGAGGGTAAAAACCACACTGGCCCATGTATCAGGATGTCGTCCATCACGTTTGCACAGAGCTGGTTTGGTGTCACCTCCCTCCCCTGCAGTCCAGTCCAGTCCAGCGTGGTGGGTGAGGAGGGTGGGTGAGAGCTGGCAGCCTTCGACTCATGTCATCCAGGGTGCGTGTCCATCCACGGGGACCCCGTCAGTCACGCATGTCTGGCCAGGAGCAGGCTGGCTGTCCCCAGGTTCTGAGGTGGCCAGCACTGCCAGCTCTGTGCTCTGACCTCATGTGGCTTTGGGCCCAGGCATGCTGGGACCCTACGGGTGGAGGGTGGGGGCCGGGGGGGCTGGAGACCACAGGACAGGACCAGGAGGGAGCCACCTGGAAGCAAGACACTGTGACCAGGGCTGGGGGTCCCCTGGCCCGCGGCGGTCTGGGGAGTGCTCTCTGGGCTGTGCTCTCTGTCAGGGACCAGGATGGTGTCACGGGGATCCCCTGAAGGATCCTTAGGGAACCAGGATGGAGGCACCGGCCTGAGACTGGGCTGACACAGCTGGGTCAGAGGGTCACCTCCAGGCACCTGCACCCAGGCTGACGCAGACCCCCTAGTGAGGACAGGGCCTCACAGATATCCCTGAGCTGCAGGCTCTGACACACTAGGGGGGATGGGATTCCTGCGCTACTCTGTGCATGGGGCGGGGAGTCCCCACTGGTTGTGACCACTGCCCGCCCTTCCTCCACATCACCACCAGGGGGAGCTCGTGGGCAGGCGATGCCTGGCTCCCAGGGACGGGCGCTGCCAAGCCCGCTCTGGCTAATGGGTGCCCAGCCTGGAGCTCAGCTGTCCTGCCTCTCACCCGGCACTCCCTACTGTGCACGTTATGTGCCAGCCACCCCAGCCCTGGTGGTCCCTGTTAGCCCCCTCCACACTCGCTCTGCTCCCGCCTCCTGGAACCCTGCCCATACTGCACCTGGCTCACTCCTGCTGTCACCTCGCATTGCTGACTCAACTCAGGGCCCCCTCCTCCAGGAAGCCCTTAGGGTCCTCTCTGCCTTAGTCCCCCTGCCTCCTGGGTTTTCCTTCTATGTCTTGGCATTGGTTACATGTTTTCTCCTTGCCTCTATTTGCCTTCCCGCTGGATGGAGTGTCCCTGGGGGTAGGACTGGCTCAGCCCAGCCTGAGCCCCTCCCTCAGGGCCTCAGGAGTGTCCAATGGCTGTTGACATTCTGGAAGGCAAAGGGGTGTGCCACCTCCTTCCACTCCATCCTGAGCATTCCTCTGAGCCCGGCATGGCCAGTGGAGGAGGATCCTGAGATAAATCAACCCTGGTCCCTGTCTTCCAGGAGCTCAGAGGCTAAGGGGAGAAGCAAGTACTGGCCCCCAGGACCCCCACCCTTGCAGACCAAAGCAAGCCTTCTGAATCCCCCGGGCTGGGCGTGCTCTGTCCTTCTCACGTTCGTGGGAGCCTGTAGCATCCGCTGTAGAGATGGCAGCAGAGAACTGCTGGATGTCTGACAACCCTGCAGTGGCCTCCTGCCAGCTCCAGCAGGACTTCGGTGGGCAGCCTGGTGTAGAGGAAAGGGCAGAGGCTTCTGGGTCAGACACCCGCGATTTCTGGGCCACATTCCACTCTCCAGTCGTGAGCTTGAGTAAGCTGCCAGGCCTCCTGAGTCTGCTCACCTGGAATGTGAGTTCTAATGAACCGTGCCCTCCCAGGGCTGTTTTGAGATCCTGTGTGTGAAGCTCCTGGCAAGGCTGTGGGTCCGTATTGCCAGTGGATGGTCTGATGATTTGCACACATGGGTCTGTTCTCTGTCTTGCATGCCCCCCCACCCCAGTTGAGCCTCTAAGACCCACCTCAAGTGCCCCCTCCTCTGGGAAGCTCTCCTTGATCTGTTCTGCCTGGGACAACGGGATTTGTGTCAACCAAGCATCTTCTGGTTGCAGGAGTCAGACAGGCCTAAGCTTTTCTGAGAAGTTCCAGGCAAGGCTACCCCAGGGCTCACCCTGTATCTTTGGGGCATCTCCTTCTCTCTGTTTGTTCCCATCTCTGTGCCTCCCTGCCTCTCCTTACACACTAGCCTCATCCTCTCCCACTGCAGACGGCTCCTCCTCACTGCTGGCGATGACGACCCCAAATAGTTCCCCTTCCAGTGTCCTCACAATCCCTTCTCCCAGGGTCTATGGGAAATTCTCATGGAAGGATCTGGTTGGCTCTGTTTGGGTCACACACTCACTTTTCGAGCCAGTCAGCATGGACATGATTATTGCATGCCACAGGTGGCCAGCAGGGGCGGGCAGAGCTCTGTGATTGACAGGGATGGGGCGGGAGCCTTTCCCCAGTGGCAAGAGGAGAGCTGGGGACCAGAGCAGCCAGAGTCGTGATCCCGTGTGCAGATGGGAAAACGAGGCAAGCCGAGGTGAAGCAACTTGCCTAGATGCAAGCCGAGGCAGGGGCTGCCCTTTTCCCTGTGAAGGGAACCTTCTGGAACGTAAGACTGTGAGATGGGCCATTCTCTCCTGGCGTGGTTTGCAGGGGGCTGGGACCTGGTATTCTGAGGCGAAAGGGACCCCCTCTCCCTGCAGGTGGGGGGGGGGATCCCTCCTCCCCAGCGTGTGTCAGCTGGATCCTGCCCCTTAATGGGAGGAGGATTAGCAACTATGTGGGCCTCAGGTGACTTGGATGATCTCCCCCTCCTCTCCTGATGGGTCCGGGCAGAATGGGTGTCGTGTGAAAGCACCCACTCGTGAAGGGAGCTGTTCCCTGAAGGACAAAGGGGGGGCTGCCTTGCTCTCTTCCCTGGCCCCTGCGGTGTGGCGGGGGGGAGCGTGGCCCTCGAGCAGGCCCTTCTCTGGGAACGGTTCGTCACCCGCCCGTGCCCTCTGCTTCCCTCCTCTTGGGCTCCCCGTCTCAGAGGAAGCCAGCGGGGCTTTGGTCGTGGACGGGTAGCAGGAGAAACATCTGCTGGCGTTTAGTAACTAGCAGGAGGCGGACTCCCCGAGCCCAGCGCTGTTCCAACTGTTTCACCGTGTCACTTCATCCGTGCTCACCAGGGCTGGAGGCCCCGTTACTCCACTTATAGATGGGGGACCTGCACGGAGAGTTAGGAAGCGTGTCAGGGGCAGAGCTGGGGTCTGGACCCAGGTGGGCTGGCCCGTGCACCTGCCCACACCGCCTGGGCTTGGGGGCGTACTTTTGCCTTGTAGGCCCAAGTGGAGCGGTGGGGAGAGAAAGGCGTCTGTCCCCCCTCTACGGTGCGGTCATTTACCAGCCCCAGACCACCCAGCATCTGGGGCGCCCCCCCCGGGCTCCTGGCCCTCATCTGAGCTCCTTGGGTCTGCCCTTTCTGCCCCACTGTGTGGGGTCCGGGCCGGGGGAGGGGCAGCCTCTGCCCGTGGGGTCTCAGAGTCCCTGTCCAGAGTCAGTGTTTGAAAACCACAGCTGCACCCGCCCCCAGGCTGCTGAGTCCCCCCCGGGGGGGCCGGTGTGGGGTTTCATGAGCTCCCCAGGTGGCTCTGCGGCCCCTCCAGGCGACCCCTCTCCTTTGCAGGCTCTGGGAGCCACCGCATAATAGGGCAACGTTGGAGCCATCCCCGGGCAGCCCAGGGTTGGGGGCGGAGGTCACAGGGAGAGGTGGGGGGGCGTCCCCGGCCACTGGCCTCCGGCTCCCTCTGGGGGAAAGCGGGAATCCACCTTCTCTTGCTGCTGCTTCAGTGTTACCCGAGTGTCCCAGGGCTGGCACAGCGGGTGATCAGGAAGGGCAGAAGAGATAAAGCAGGAATGGCCTCTCATAAAGCCTGGGGCAAGGCCTCTGGGTGCCATCAGCACTCACCACCTGTGGGGTCCTGGCAGGTGGGGGCGCTACCTGTGACCCAGCCTGACCTAGAGCCTGACACCTGTGGACGCCTGTTGTGGGAGTGAAGGGGGGCGTCTGGCAGGGCCACAGGGGTCCCCCCTTGTCCGATGAACCAGACAGGGCTGATGGAGTTGCTGCCCTGAGTCGGGAGGTCAGAGGTCATCCCAGCTGGTGGCCCCTGAGGTCTGAACGTCCCCCTTTGCAGGGCACGTGGCCATCGGCCCACGTGGGGGTCTGCAGATTCTGGGCTCCTGAGAGCACAGGGCACCAGGGACACAGCAGAGAGGGAACCTGGCACCTGCCCAGGAGGACCTACCCCATGGTTTGCAGGGAGCAGACGACAGCAAAGCTCAGAGGGAAGCCCCGGGCAAGAGGGGAGTGGGGGTGTGGCCCATCTGGGGGGTGGCTGGGGCCAGCCTCCTGGAGGAGGCAGCACTCGAGTCTCGAGAAACCAGTAGGAATCTGCCCACAGAGGGTGGAAGGGCATTGGGGCAGAGGGAACAGCATGGCAGAGGCT